GTTCAGGTGGGCAAGTAGAGAATGCAGCAGAACACAGACAACATGGTGTAACAGGAAACGTACAACTTCTCTTACCTTACATTTATACAAATTTACAACTTTGCAAATTAAATGGCTCTATAATTACGCAAGTGCTTTTCAAAAATAAACATATACCCACTCAATGATATTTACACTTAGCAACCTGCTTCAGAAACAGCATGACTTTGCTATAAAGTGAAACTTCAGTGCACTGAAAGTGCAACTCACCCTTCAGAACTAACTTCTCTTCCCATGCAAAACCTCAGCGTAAAAACACCTGGCTTTAGACAGTCACAGTTCAACTTTTTTTTTTTTTTTCATTCATCATAATGCAAAGACAACAAGAACTTGTTCCTGCTGGAAAAGAATTTGGTAGCTTCTTTTTCTGTAGGAGAGAAAGAGCAGTCGTGTTAAGCACAGAGAACATGGGGATGCAGAAAAAGCTGTAAGCATTCCTTTCTTCCTCATCCTTCCATCTACCTTGTAGGTGTAACTGCACAAAGCTCAACCAGGAATCGGACACGGAAACGCACACACGCTCATGTACCTCCCAGGGCACAAACGGCATGACCACAGAACAGGAGCAGCTGAGCTCCCGGCTTCGCACCAGCCCACCCAGGCTTCCGGCAGGCACAGCCTCTCAGCCCTTGCCACGTACAAAGCACAAGTCCGTGACATTCCTCAGTTATAATATTTCAGGAGTGTGTACAACTGAGCACATCCTTTACAAAGTTATACTGTGTCTGCTTTTTGATTGTTCACGTACATAATCTTTTCAGTCTCACGCCTTTGCTATTTGCCATCAAATCCCCAAGTCAAAGGTGCGGTGCTGTAAACCAGACAGACTGGAAAAACACAGAATGTGGATTCCTACTCCTGGTGATAAACGAGCATGAAAGAAGAGCTTGAATTCTAGTAAGGCCTAGTTTGAGTTAAGCCTAGTTCCTACATTCCACCTAGAAACCTGGTCTGAAGTTAGAATTTAGAAACTCGTTCATGTTTTAAGAGAAATAATTCAATTTTCATAGGCATGTGCAGAGTCAGTATGAGTTACTTGTGTGTATCTGAAGACTGTACTCATCTTAAGAAAACTGTTAGTTCAGAGTAAGCTCAAGAGGCAAAGTTAGTAAGACTGACAAATATAAATAGGATGTCAGAGATTCGGACTAGCACCTCTGAACCATCCCATTTTAAATAACATACATAGAGATGTCTAATACATATTTAGAATTTTAAATTGAACAGTAAATGCTTGTACTTGCCTTTATTTTCTTCTTTTTTGATGGTGTTGGAGAGCTTTGAAGGTCTTTTCTATTTGCAGAACGAGAATTCCTCTCACCCTCGTTCAAGTCCTCCAGTTTCCTTTTCTTTACCGCGCTCCTTAAAGACCGGAACTGTTGGGTGTTGTCCTTCAGGGGGGTTGCAGTGCTAGTCCTTGCAATAGCTGCCCGCGACAGTATCATCAGCGTGTGGGCGGCCATGCTGACGCTGTTTTCACTACCTGTCTCGCTGGCTGGGCTGCAGGCAGGCAAGTCTGGCGTGGCAGGGGGTACCATGATTCTAGGGGTCGTGCTGTCCTCGTTGAAGCGCCGACAGGTCGGTGTCCGTACGCTGTCTGTAGTGTCATCCGTATGCCTGTCCCCAACCCCAGATGGTGTACGGGGTACTGGCAATTCTCCGTTTTCCACTGTTTTACTAGTTGGGCTCTGCCACTGTACGTCTTGCAACACTTCCACACATTGTTTAGTGAATGGACTGGGCAGGCAGGGGCCTTGGGCGGAAACTTTAGCTGGTTCTCGCTTTGGCTCCTTCGAAGACAAAGGAACGGACGCTGAAGATTTGCTGTTCCCATTCGACAGCGACCCTTGCTTTTTGTTCAGCTCTTGCACTGAAGCAACTGTCTTCTCGTTCCATAAGCTAACACTTTGTTGGCCATTTGAGAGTTTGGCAGCGTCCTGGTTCTTCTGTTTTTCATCCGTATCCCTTCGTAATTCATTTTCTTTATTTGCTGTAGTCTTGTGGAAGGGATCCAATGGAAGCCCTGCAGCTGCCACCTTCCGCTCAGGCTGTGGCTCCTTGGCAGCTGTGTTTCTGTTGCTACCAACTTCAGGCTTACACAGAATTCTAGGCAACGTTTTCTCTTTCTCTCTCTTTGCTGCCTGTGCCTTCACAGAGGATGATGCGGAGTCGACAGCAAATAAAGTACTTTCGTTTCTTTCTTTTTGGGATAAACTTTTACTAGTCTGAATTTGGGTGTTTCCTCCTGGAGTGGGTAGAACATTATCAAAGCAGAGCACCCTCCTGTGACTTTCGCTTTGCCTTGAATTTGAGCTTGTGCTCTCTACTGGTGCAACAGGTAAGTTCTCCTCCACTTTCCTTCCTAGTTCTGCAGTGATAAGCTTGTCCGAATTTCCAGTCCTGAAAATGAGATGAAAATACTTCAGCAACATACCTGTTCTTACCGTGCAAGTCCATTTCAGCTGGCTGGAAGTCCACACCTGCCCCTCAGAACACCTGTTTGAAGCTCTGTCCGGTCTCTAAACGTTACACGTTTCATTAAGACACAAAGACCAAGAGTGAGGGATGACAACTGCAGAAAGCTCGGAGGCCAAAAGGATGACAAAAAGCTATGAAGCAGAGTCTGTACAAAGAACAATGAGGTAGACGAGGGCTCTTCAGCCTAGAAAGAGGACGGAGGGGAAATACAACACTGCTCTGGGAAAAAAGCCAACAAAAAGGAAACTATTTGCTGTATCTTCCAGTGGAAGAACTAGGGGCATCAAGTAAAACTAGTTACAGGTTCGAAACAGAACAAGGAGGTTTGGACACTGCATGTAATGGGAAGGTCTGGGAACTTTTCTACCCTGGGATATTTGTGGATGCTGGTAGTTAACTTGAGTTCAAAAAGCAACCAAGCACGTTCATGACAGGAGAGTCCATCCCGGAATACTGGTTGTGACTCTGGAAGTCCTTGGAGCTGAAATTGCTAAGCAGCTGCCACAATATTCTGGGCAATATCATCATGCGCGTGCCTTGTACTCTCCCCTACGCATTTGCTGTCGGTGAAGGGATACAGAGTGAGACAAGCAGCTTTCAGTGGGCATTTGGATAAGAACGTACAAATTCCCTAGGGCTTGGTCTCCACCTGACAACTTGCCACATTGGTGTGAAAAAGGCACCACTGCACTGTAGTCATGCCTAAAGAAAAATGCTTCTGCTCTGTCAGCTCATGCCACTGCTGTGTCTGTGCCCGTCTCCTGGCCTATGCTGTGTTTCCAAGAGGTTTCCGCATACTCATCTGTGCTAGTAAGAATCTCCCCATGCAGATAAACCTTTATGGTTCACAAGAGGGGAACTTAAATTAACTTTGAGGTGGTACCTTTGGTACCTTTGGGATGGTAAAGAAGGTATGGCAGTAGCAGTTTGTTTGAGATGAGACAGGGCAGAGAGTAGAAGTGAGAAATTACATCTCTTTACAGAGAACATTTTGCTCTTTGCATGCATGTATGTTGTATACTTTAGTATATTTTGGTGGGGTTTTTGTACTAGTTGACTTTATTGTTCCTCTTTTCCTTCACTTTTCCAACGTTTTAGCTGATTTCTGAATTGGAAGATTATATTTTTTAAAGTATGTTTTATTTTTAAAATAAAAGAACATTTCACCTCTAA